AGTCCGGAACATAAAGATTCGTAATGCTACAACCCTTATAATGAGTAAACCGACCCAATTACGATGCATTACCCCTCAACATCTTATCGTGTTTTTTTTTTTTTTTTGTTACTCGCGAAAGATAGAAACATTTTGAGAAAGTTCGTTGTGAAAGGACACAAATAATCACATGGTGTTGGTGCGAAGAATAGTAAGTGAATTAAGAATTGAATATTGTATAGGGGATAGACCTATTCTGAACGCCGATGACGCCATTACACTACTAGTAGGCCATCATAAATACTGTCACAGAAAACCGCTAGCAAACACTCTGTACACAAAACACCAACCCCACCCCTCCCCGTGGTACAACCAATTAATTCTAGACTAGTTTTGGAACCGGGTCGAATACGGGTAAATTAAAACTGGCTGACTGTTTTACAGTGGCCGCACTGTTCTGTATGCAATGATGTATTACCTACATGTTACTTGCATAATCGCCATTGATTTTCATTAAAACTATGAAATTCGATATAGAATGTTCAGGAGAACTTTTGTTTGTTTTTTTGAAAAAAAATGCTTGATTTCCAGTCCCTGTATATTGATATAAGCAACCGGACGGTAAGAGCAATACGGAGAACTCATTAGATATGCGGTCATGCGTACCGTAACGCCGATGCGAACAGCCGCCCAGATGCACGGACAATATGACGTAGGGAAACATGAGGACAAACACGAGTTGTGCAGGGTTTCAAAACGACTAGTGGTTGATTGTTCGTTTCTTTTATTTTGTATTATTCACCGTTCCGTTCAACTGATGAGAGGATTGCTACAATGCCTTTTAAAACGTTTTTGTTCCGTGCAATACTGTCATATGATGGCTTAATTTACGATAAAGCGCTACATTTGCCGACTATACCGATGCCGGTGCTATCACGTGCTTGCAAGCAAGCCTTCTCCGAGTCAAACGGGTAGTTCCAGGCCGAGGTTTCTAGACTATGGCGAGCACAACGTGAATACCACAGAAAATGCAACTTCTTCGCAAAATAAGGTGAAGGTCCCCCTAATGCAAAGATGCTCAGGCGTAGAAAGGCTATAATTTTGAGTGAAAGGCCAAAAAAAAACACATTGGGAATGGCGGTGTATACTTCGCGATAAAGGCAATTACGACCACGTCAGTAGATGTAGGTTTGTTTTCCATCAATTTGTTATGTGTATTACCAGCACCAGAAAAATTGAAAAATTGCCATCCAAGCTAAAGCCCCAAGATACTACTAATATTTTGCGCAATTGTTTAAATTTCACGTGTTATTACTAGTATGTAGTTAGTTACGATTTTGAGTGCGAAACACATTCATTGCATGTAGACAGACAAATGCCACCAAACTAGACAAAACTTGTATAATATAGTGACTGTTAAGTCTACTGCCTCCTTAACGTACACTCATCTTGAATGGTCAAAAAAATCCAACACAATGTTAACAACTTATTCAAAACACTTATTAAATGTTTGATGGTATCTGTATTACGAATTAACTGGTAACGAGCTGCTCGTTTGAAAGAGAGGGATTTGTCACGGCGACGAAATGAATGTGGGAGAAAATAAAACATTGGATATTAAACGTGTCTTAATGTTAAACATTGGGGTCAAACGCGAAACAAATATATCGCCATACAACATTTAGAGAAACTTAGTGTCTTCCATCAACCCTATTTGGATTGGTTATCTCTAATTAAGAGACGCCCTTTTGCTCACTGTTCACTCACGCGTGAACCCGCATGGCTTGTCAGCAGCAAATCTATCTGCGCCATTTTCCGCCGTTCTTTTCACACACAAGTGTTTGCTATTTTTTTTAGATATATTCCGTCAAAATGTTATGTAAAAAATGTAATTTTATTATATACGCTAATTGTCAGTGTTTGTCACAAAATTGTGAGTTTTTTAATACAATGTATAAAATAAATGTATGGGAATTTCATCAAAGCCGTCAATTTCCCGGCCATTTTTGTCATAAAAAGCGTGGAATATACTGTAAATATGCCGTGTAGAATGTTGTTTACAAATTACTAGTAAAGTTTCATCAATATTTATTCATTTTTTATCAAAGTTAGATTATCCCGCCAATGTTTTATCAAAAATATGAGGTGAGTTATCATAATATTCGACAAGAAATTGTATGTATAATGTAGGAATTCCACCAAAGATGTGCTTTTCTTGTCGCAAACAAAGTATGAGTCGACTTTTCTTAAATATTCGATTCAAATGTTGTGTAAAAAACGACAAATTTTGCCAATTCAATAAAACTACAACAACCTATCCTGCACTAATATTTTGTAGAAATACTAACACGTGCTGTGTCGTACAGCCTCGTTCGCTGACATTATAATATGTCATACGAACCGCCAAGGACCGTGGATATAACACGTATTTCAGTGAAAAAAAAAGTGTTCATATAAGACTGACGTCGTCGTCGTCGTTGTTGTTGTTGTTGTTGTTGTTGTTGTTGTTGCCAACTGGAAAACTGACGCGATGTAAAGACAAACTTGCTATGTATTTTAATATTCATTTTCACCCAAATGGCATTTGCCCCACAGCTAAGTCCCAATACAGCCTAAAAATACGAATATCTACACTAAGCCATATCATATTTAAAAAGGCTATTTTGGTCATCTTTCTCATTTCATTTTTTGTTACCCTCATACCTTTTAATACGTTGTGGCTATATTCACTCGCGTATCTACCCGCCGAAATATCTACGGGTAGTTATGAATATTCATTTATGCAAATATGCATTGTGTTGTTGTTGTCAATCATGATTTGTGTGTAAGGAAATGAACAATGGGCCAGGCGACGCGATTGTTCGCTGTATGGCGCAGTGAATGTTTCCAGAGCAATTAATACCAACTTAAGCATGTTTGATTATACTATCTGCCTAAGCTCATCAGTCAAAATTCAACTGAATGTGAGCAAAATTTGAAAGTCATTAAACTTGTTATTATAAATTTGTGGTGAAATTTAGACAATTCAGATTTTAGATGATGCCTGTTTTTATTTTATTTTATTCTTTTATCCAATTACCGATATTCAACAAATTTTACTTAAACAATGTGTTAAATTTTTACAATTGTCTTTTTGACGAAAAGATGACATGATTTATTTATTCATTTGTTTATTCGTTTATTCAATGTTCATGACATTTTGCACTTCATGAAAAATACTATTATTATCCAACTTCCGCTATCCATGGTTACGAAAAATTAAATTATCTTGGGAATCTAACATTATCATTAACCACTACATGAATTACAGAATTAAAATATATTTGTGAAGGCAGTACTTCGTCGACCGGCAACTTTGCTAGAAGTACGGACAATCCGAAAAAACTGGCACCCGCGCACTTACACAGCAAACAAATAATGCGGAGTGATTTTGTTATAATTGGTGGTAGTGAGAACTGCCTAGTTGGTATATTTAATGTATATACATAGTTGACTTTCTTCACCAATGTTTAGTAGCGGAGAATAATTAAGCAGCCAGTGGTTTACTTTGGACCAGAATTGTATTTTTAACATCAGCGAAAATAGCTAGTTTCTCATATTTGAAAAACAAACAAACAAGAACACAAAATGTTCGCATAACATTCTTCCCCGATTGTGCACTGCACTTGAGTTTCAACTATATACGAAACAGGGGTCACTGTGATTCCGAATAAGTTAGTTTTCATGATCTGGTACAATAAGGAGGTGGTTGCAGGAGGGATGAAACAAATTTACGGGTTATGGTAGTCAGATTCGTCTTATGCGTATAGCATGTTTTCAATGCACATTTTAAGAAAAGATATCTCTCCCATTTCACGCTACACATTTCCGTGGCCACGCGACTCGTTTTTCGATATGCGATATACTCAGGTATAATTCACAGTGACGTCATTATTGCAAATTGTATCTTAACTTACCCAAACATGATTTCTTCAGAACTTTTTTGTTGTGGTTGTTTGTGTTTCGCATCGCCCAGCCACTCAAGTGTTTCCTTGCATCCGCATCTTTTGGTGAATATCGAAGACTGGCGTCACCATCAATCCATTCCTGAAACTCGTCAAACTGAAAAAAAACACACAGTAATTATAGTAAAAATATTTCTAATACCATAACTGTTATAATTAAGATGCATGAACTCACATATAGCAGTACCTTATCTAGACTGAGGATTGGCATCGTGTCGCTGGTGTGCTGTATATTCGTTCGAGAGTGAACGGAGCGTCGAAGGTGTCGCTTCGGAAGCTACAACTAGTTTGAGCATGGAGCAAAAAGAGCACCGTTTTTATCTTGAAATTTCATTTTAATAAGATCGAGTAAATTATTCCTTTGAAGTGGGCACAATGGAGGCAACAAGATGGTCTGTTGTGAAAGGCGACTACAGAACTACATCTTCAGACAACTGACTTCAAATCCTATTGATGGCGTATCAATGGTGTAGACAATTAATCAAAGACATATACGACTTTTAAAACATACGGCAGAAAAGGAACGGGTAAAGGACACAACTTAATTAGAGGTATAAGAGTTTTGCCAACTTTGTGTTCGTAAGCGTGTAATTCGATATGGTATTGTGCGTTGTGATCATTGCATTGTTGTGCATCAGTTCTCCTTAGACGGGTGCCATGACACAATCAACTACCACGTGAGGATTCAACACTCCTTGACGGAGCGATTACAGCCCCCTTCTCGCGTCACGTGGACATCGCAACATATGCAAAACGCGTCGGTCGTATTGACTGAACCGTCCCGGTGAGGCAGCTAACTGGAGTTCGCTACTGCATCGCAATACCATATGCTTTGCCGGGGGGTGTAAGTGTCCAGCTCCGCAGTCGGGACATATACACTTTTGTCTGGACGGATTCGATATCACAGAATAACGACCAATTATAGAATAAATAATAATAAATTACGCTCGTTGGGATACTGAGTATTCGTTTCTAATTTTTGGCACGTGTCGTTTATTCACGCGTGCCTCAATTAATGCTTTCATTTCATAGTAACAATCATGGCGAACCATTGTTCAAATGTGTGAATGTCGCGCAGTATCTAGATGGAAATGACCACATATCTCCACTTTATTTTCTTAGACGCGTGTTTGGGAGGGCCAGGGGCTGTTCCCACCTGATGAGTGATATTTTCCCTACTATATAGATAGGACCGAGCTTTTTGGACACCGAACATTTAACTTCAGATTTTTGATAAGAATCTTATATTTTTAGTCGTATTTCACTGGGATTATGTGCAACCGAAAATGCAACAAGTTGACGACCTTATCATGATTAGCCAATGGGAAAGGAGCCCAAGTCTTTCTATCATATTATTAATACCCGGATGTAAGCACTCAACAGCCAAGAATTGCTTCTTGGCTCAGACTGGATCAATTACTTGTCTTTGGGTTACATACGTACTGTAAAGGGGTTAATTATTCACTGGGTTTTAATTTTGCTTATTTCGCTGACTGGAAAATGTATTAAATTAAAACCCAGTGAATATGTAAAATTTAGCATAGAACACATTATCTAAATGATAAAACCGTGAATTTAAAACCCAAAGAATATGCCTGAAATGGCAAATCAGTGAATTTTAAACCCAGTGAAAATTAGTCATTTTACAGTATACTCTTAATACAACTATAGCACATTAAACACACGCAGGGATCACTGACTTGCATAACTCTCCGGGTTTTAGCTCTGTTTATGTTCCCCATTTTTTTCTTTAACATTAATGTATCTTTTTTTTTTCAATTGTAATCGCATATTTATTTATACGATGATGATTTTTATTTATTCCTCACATAAACAAATATGTTAATTAACCCGGATACTAATCACATAAGCCACTATTGAGCTCTGAAACAAAAAGTAAAATAATAGTGCCGCCAAAATCCAAATATGAAAATAATTATACAATTGCTCATTTTTGAGAAGTATGTTAACGATATGCTTCAGTGTTACGGTGTGTTTGTAATGATAGTAGAAAATCTTGAATGAAATGAAGTAACACGAATCTGTAACCGTGGCTAAGATACGATAAACATAACGGGTGTTTGTATTCAACTATTGTATCATTGTAATAGCCGAAACCAAAACAACTGTTAATTGCTTTGTGTTTGTGTAGTCGCCGGGGATTCCACAACTATAATTACCAGATATGTTTTCACAACTGTCTGCGTTGTCGCGTGGCTACGTCATCGGTATTAAACTTTCACCCGCATTATGTTGTGTGTGTAAACAACTCGATTAAAATTTTAGTAGCTGTTAAATTTGTTTTCGAAAACGAATGTCATCATCCGATGTAATTTTAGTGAATCCTAGTACGCGTCTTTTATTTTGTTTTTTGCATACCACTTATACTAACATTAAAGAGAAGTAAAAAAAGAGAAAAAAGGAGAACTGTTCGTATCAGGCGTATTTGGGTGAAATGTATAACAGCTGCTC